TAAATTACCCAGTTTCAGCTATGTCTTTATTAGCAGCATGAAAATGAACTAATACAACTCTACTCTTTTATAGTAAGGTAAAGATAATTTTTCACTCTACATGCAAAAATTAAGATGCATTTTGAACCCTTATCCTTGAGCATTGTTCAATTTTCTAAAGTTACTGGGAGTGTGGAAACAGTAAAGTAAGCTATCCATCAAATGTCTTTCTTTGAAAAAAATTATTCAGGTCCCTATTAGTTAATCTACCATGTAGTAATAGGGTAAAGATACTTTAGTCATCACATTAAACACTCAATTTAAAAGAGCATTGAAGTGAGTGCTTTCTATGTGTACTACCTTGTGCTAGGGGCAGTGACAGTCCAAAAGAAATACACCACATCCACAAGAAGCCTACAGTCTAATTCAAAGGCATATATGTGAAATGTTAAAGGGGGAATATTTGTAATCTAGCGCTTCAGACAAGACTATTTCATGAATAATATTTCCTAAAAGTTAGTGAAATATTAAATTACTTCTGACTCTCTAAAAATTAGTGATGTATTGAAATATTTCTGACTCTCTGCTTCTTCCATGTCATCTGGTACGTGTACCTGAGCTATGATCTTAATTGAGACGTGCCTCTGACCTTGATCACTTCTCTACTTCTCTTGGACACTCTCCCGTTAATAATAATTAGTACATATCATGTGATAGCTTTTTATTCCTTAGATCTAACCTATGAGAATTCATCCCATTTTAGTGCTTTAAATACTATCAATATCCCAATGAATGCTAAATGTATATCTTGAGCTTTGATTCTTCCTGAACTGTAGTCTTGGTTTATTCAAGACATACATATTCATCTCTATGTTGAAAATCTATTTCAAACTTACCCTGCCCAATAATGACTCTTGATCATTCTTTCTCAATAATAACTGGCACATACCATACATTAGATTTTTAAGCCTCAGAACAAAGCTGTAAGATTGTTTCCTTTAGGAGACTCATTTCAATCATGAGAAAACTGAGACACTCAGAGGTTACAAAACATATGCATAGCAGTAAGTGAAGATGGAATGCAAATCCAGTCTGTTCACAGAGTTCATTCCATCAACCATGACACTCTATTGTTACACCTCTGCCTCTAACACATATCTCAAACTGGGTCACTTCTCTGTATCTTCACTGCCACTACCCTATGATATGCACATGCATGTCTACTCAAGTGTTCAAAAGGCATCCTAAACTGTACATGTCAAAAAAGAGAACCTTTAATTTGTTCTGCTCTAAGTAATAAAACTTACCCTATGCCAAGCACTGCTCTAAACAGTTTTAATGCATTACTTCCTTTGATGCTTAGAGCAAATAATGAGATAGGTATTATGATTCTCATTTCACACATGAGGAAACTAAAGTAAAAAGAATTTTAGAAACTTGCCCCTGGCCAGTACATGAAGTTGGAAGCAAACCCTGTCTGTCTCCAGCATCCATGCTCTCAAAACCATTGCTCTATATGCTTTTTCTTCACTAACTTTCCTGATGCAGAAATGCACTTCTATCTACCTGTCAGTCAGGCCAAATGTTTGAGACTTAGCTGTGATTTCTCCCTTTTTGCTATTTCAACACTTCCTGGCATACAATTACTACACATATCTTCCCAGCATTACCTCCACCATATATGTATCAAACCTGATTACTTCTCACCATCCTCACTGCTTAATATTCCCCCACTCTTAAGCTCCTTAATCTATGTCAATAGCTGATGAACTGGTCTCTCATCTTCCACAGATCCTAAAGCCCATTCCACCTAAAGCATCCAATGTGATAATTTTGAAACCCAAAGAAAGCCATATCACTTTATTTCTAAGGACCCTGCTTGCTCAAATTAGAATAAAATGCAAACTCTGTTCCATGCCCTATTGCACTCCACGTACTCTGGCCCTTGTATGTCTTTCTGAACTCATCTCACTCCAGGCTCTGTTGCACCTACTGCACTCCAGTCACACTGGCCATTGTTCTCTCCCTTGACCACACCAAGCTTGTTCTACTTTGCATTTATTAGCCTGGATATTAATTTTGCAGGCTCTTCCTACCTTACCGGTCTCAGCTCCAGTGTTACAGCAGAAAGTTTCCTTTATCCCCTTCCCCAAAGCAGCAGCCTCCCCGGTATACACCCTGCTACTCCTTAGCTCACATTAGAAATCATCATACTATTCTGTGAGTTGATTTTCTGATTTTCCTCACTACAGGAAGGCTGGATGAGCACAGGGAACTTGCCTATGTTGTTTATTGCTCTGTAGTCAGCTCCTGAAAGTATGCTTGAAACACAGTAGGCATTTAAATATTTTTGATAAATGAGTAACATTAGTGATCCAATGTTCTCAGTTTACACCTCTACAACTTTTAAGGAAACTCATTTTACTTATTTTCATATTTCATCAACATGTTTTTAAATTAAACTATCCTTGTTCATGGTCTAATTATCATGATAAGTAGTATACATTTATTGAGATCTTACAGTGTTAGGCACGGCATATGCCTTTAAATGTTATCTTCCCATTTTACAAAAAGGAAATTGATGCTAAGAGAGGTCAAAGAACTTTCTCAGGAACACAGACAAAAATGCCAAAGTTGAGATTTAGATGAAGGATTATCTCACTTTAAATCTCGAGCTCTTTCTAATGTATCCAGTTATAGATCCGATGAGAGTAAACAAATGTGTTTTACAAAGAAGAAAAGGTAAAACAAACAGACTAATAATAACCAAAAATCCCTTTCGAACTACAAATGTGAAAGCTAAGACAAAAACAATTGACTTCCACAAGAGTACAAGCAAAATTGTTTCATATTTAGTTAAAGGTGAGGAACAAGTAAATTCATTTCATCCTAGAAAGAAGCTTTTGAAATTTCTTATAACAGATAATAGAGCTTAATTATATAAATATATTCAAGTGTTTTAAATAAGTTACATTATGCATGGATAAGTTATTCAAGTAAACCCAAGAGTCTTGAAATTACATGCCTCACTCCAAAAAGCTAAGGTCTGGAGACTAACTATGCCTTTTCACAATTCCTTAGACTCTTAGGCAAATCACCCCAGGAAGATGGAGGATGAGAATTCTGATCCTTAGAAGAGGTTGTCCTGCTCACTAGGTTTTACTATATTACTACGCTTTTCAAACCAATGGGTGTCAGATCTCTCTTCAAAATACTTTAGAGAATGTCACATCTCTATCAGTTAGAACTGATAAAGATGTTAGAAATGATTACATCTAATTTTCACATCTTATAAACAAATAACTGAATACTGCAATGAATAATGATCTGTTATTTGGAAAGTGTTTCTACATCCATAAGAATCAGACTCAGCATCATGCCTGGATGGTGAAAAGTCACATGACCAATAAGTCACCATCCACAGGGCTCCTGCAGTACAGGGACAAAACAGAAAAGGACCGTGAGATGCTGAGACTTGGTACATTCTAAAATAACTAAAATTCCAAAAATAAAAATGACAAGAAATATATACTCTGGATCAGAGAAAAATGAAATAAAAAGAACCAGGTTTATAAAATAAGGAAGAGGAGTCTAAGTATAGGAGAGAGAACAGTTGCTGTCAGATTACAACACCTCAGAGTCCAAGCAGGGGGCTAAGAAGAAAAAATATAGAGAAGAAGCCGACATTGCTGTTTTTATATAGGGGGAAAAAGTATAGAGGTTATTAAATGAAAATGCCAGCTTAAAAACAAAAGTGAGGAAATCCAAGCTGAGCCGCATCCTGCAAGTTCAAGAAAATTTAGAAACATTTCATCATGTGCCTCACATAAACCAAAAGAACTTTTTTTTCTGTTACAATCGTATATAAAATGAACTTTGTGTGTTTTCTTTTGAAGTCAGGCTGAAAAAAAAAGTCATTAATGTTTTTATTAGAAAGGTAACCTTTTGTAATACAAATAATGTTCTTCATACTAATTTATTTAGTGATCTAAAAGATGAATATGTCTTTACATAGTTTGATTCTAGTGAAACAAGGACATTTTTGGGGTGGGATGAATGTGAGGAGTCAAACATTTCCTAAGACACAATGAACTTGGTTTTAGACCATGATGGTGTCCTATATTTTTCAGAAATAAAATATTTATCTTAGATTTACTGTCTTGTGTCATTTCATTTTTCTGTGTGTAAGTATGTATGTGTATGTGTGTGTGGAGAAAACACAATAATGGTGTGAAAATATTAATAGTTAAAACATCCTGAAATATCTTATTCTGCTATCTTTTCATCTCTCTTTCAAGTCTTAATGTCTTTTAGAAAATCCAGGCATGCTTCCAGCAAGTTAGAATCTTGAGTGCTTTTTAAAATATAATATTTTTGAATCTCAGTTTCTATTTATTAGTAAAATTCTATGTTGACAAGTATATATTTATTGCCTACTATATCCCAGGCAGTTTATGAAGGGCTATGAGATGTACAGAATTAAGAGAGATTGATAGCTCCAACTCTGTCTCTTTTTTTTTTTTTAAATGTCCACTTTATTCCATATAACACTTAACCAGATATCATTTACATCTGAGGAAGAGATGGCCCATGAGACTGATCTATAGTAAAACACTCTAAGAAATGCAGTCCAATTTTATACATTTCCAGGCATCCCTAGACAAGTGTGTCACAATGCACAATGCAGAAATATAGGTATCACTACTACATTTTACATAAAAGGGAAGTATCAATAAACTTTAGAAAGTAGTAAATTCACCTGTCCCTTAAAATATGGGTATGCAATTGTTACAAAGCCATAGTAAATGGTTTATAAAACGTAATTTTATTTTCTGTTACTCTGCTGTTACATAGGGCATAACATTTTCACAAGGCTTTTTTGGGACTACAGTCAATGATTAGCAACACACAATAGTGGTCCAACTCTCTAAATAACAATCACTAGACAAACTGGACACCCTCTCACATATGCACAAATCTGCATGGAAAAGTACTAAAGGTTTAGACTTGGACTTGTGCACTTTATTTCCCCTTTCTAGTGTATTAAGAAATGACATGCACTTTAATTTGCCAAAAGCAATGCTTGTATTCTGGCAGCAACATGCTACTTCTATCACATAGTAAAGTGAATACCAAAACTACAAAGGCAGGAGGTGTAAGTGAATTTTTATTGGGAAGGGAGGTTGGCAACTTAAACAGCAGCAAATAAAGAGTGAATAAGGAAACTCCCTGTTGCCACAGATATACAAGACCTCCTTATGTGATATAGGAGCCATTTCAATTTGTGACCCCAGCCAGAGATGGCAAGTGCTTTTCCATTCAATCTAATACTTCCGGATTCCTACTAAAAAGGAATACATTAAGAGCATGGAAAAGTTGCTTACTGAAAGGAAACCCCTGAAGAGTAAGGGAGGGAATGTAGAAATTAAGAAGTTATGTGGAACACTGTTTAAATTGTAATTAACTACATTTTCTTATCTTCGCAGTAATACAAAACACAGTCACTTGCAGAACTGGTTCAGATTACTTAAATACCAGATACATTTTTAGTCCTCTACATAAGTGTTTGGGAGTTACTTATGTTTATATGAAATGAAGCTATTAATACTTTTCTACAGCAGTACTGCACACCAGGAAGGCCAAGACAAACACAAATCAAGGAATGAAGTTTTCCCAAAGCTGCAGTGTGAAAAGACTATAAACAGTTGATTCCATACACATGAATGGGTTTCTTTGCTATAGGAAATCCAAGTGGAATAAGGAATGGAGATGTGTAAAAAGGTTTCTTGAAGGAAAGAAGGATGACACCCTGTATGGATTTAGTTTTCAGCCCCTTCTGCCGCGTCACATTCTTCTCCTGCACTGTCTGATGTCCAAAGTGTTAGGTTGTCTCTAAGCAACTGCATGATGAGGGTGCTGTCTTTGTATGAGTCTTCATTCAGTGTATCAAGTTCAGCAATGGCCTCATCAAAAGCCGTTTTAGCCAGCGTGCAGGCAAGCTCTGGGTTATTAAGAATCTCATAGTAAAATACAGAAAAGTTAAGAGCAAGCCCCAGGCGGATTGGGTGTGTGGGTTGCATCTCTTTCTTGCTTATATCAAATGCCTCTTGGTAAGCTCCTTGGGAATTATCTATCGTTTGTTTTCGATCATCACCACATGCAACTTCAGCAAGGTACCGGAAGTAATCACCCTTCATTTTCAGATAGAAGACCTTACTCTCTGGATTAGTTGCATTGGCTCTTAAATATTTATCCAACAATTCCAGGACCGTGGTGCAGATGGATCTCAGCTCGGACTCCACTTTCTCCCGATAGTCCTTAATCAGCTGCAACTTCTTGTCGGAGGTGTAGGTCTTCTGCTCGATGCTCGAGATGACCCTCCAGGCGGATCTGCGGCCCCCGACCACCTTCTTGTAGGCCACGGAGAGCAGATTGCGCTCCTCGTTGGACAGCTCGGCGCCCTGCTCGGTCACTGCCTTCATGCAGGTGGCCATGTCGTCGTAGCGCTCGGCCTGCTCGGCCAGCTTGGCCTTCTGGATCAGCTCAGTCTTCTCCATGGCGGGTGCGGGGCCGGGGCCGGGGCGGAGGGCGAGGAGAGCGAGGGAGAGCGCCGACCCGGAGCGGGAGGAGCCTCGAGAGCTTCACGTCTCCGCGGTCGCGACGCGAGTCCAACTCTGTCTTTTATTGTTTCATTTTGTTCCAGTACACTTTCATATAAATTGATGATATTAGATTGAATAATTGCTAAAATATTGCTCTAAAATCTTACAATGTTGATGTACCAAATTATTAGTGAAGAATACCATGGTGATTAAAGATAGTCACAGATTCTTTGCTATTTACTAACCAAGAGAAAGTGTTTATTTCCTCTCTCCTGAAGTCAGGGCCAGCCCTGTGATGCTTGGCCTACTGGAGGTGGGAAAAGTGATGCTGTGCCAGGTCCAGGTCTAAGGCCTAGGGACACCTGGCTGTTTCTGTTTGTGCTTCTTGGGAACCCTGAGTCTTAATTGTTGAAATTGTTTAATTACATGAAGATATAAGAAATCTGTCTACTTATCATGGATAACACGAGGTGACACCAGGTAGAGAGAACAGGCCCTGGCACTACTCACAAAAAGAGGGAAACATTACCATCATAGCCTGCCAGTCCATCTCTTGCTTCAGCACCAGCTGCCATCAGATTATAGCTCCATGGGATTTCAACTGAAACCAGCATAACTGTCCATTGGGCCCAGTCAAGCCACATAACCATGAGAGAGAGGGAAATGGTATTGATTTAAGCTACTAAGTTCCAGGATTGTCTGTTATGCAGCAATAGGTAATTGAAACAGATATTACTTCTCAGCATTACAGGAAGTATAATTACATTATTTATTCCATAAACTATATATTTTAGTTTATATATAATAAAGTATCAATGTATACAGTCAGTTCTGCTATTATCTGACACAGATCGTGCTAAAAATATCATCAAGCTATGCAAAATCTTGTAATATGAACCACAAGACCAATAAGAAACATGGAATTAGGGGTATGACACTCAAAAACATTGTCAGTGACACATAAAAAAATAAAGATTAAAACACAATAAATATGGAACTGGAGTTTTACATGTGGGAATAATTGACGAATCCATACATATTACAATAAATGTGGCACTTTACCTTGACAAAAACCTAAAGTTTGCTTGTGGAAGTAAATGTGAGAAGAGTTGCATCTGAGAGTTCTTGCAAAGTGATGAAAGGAGGGTTATTCAAATCAGGCAGAAACTTGTAACACTAAACGTATTTGAGTGTGACTCATAACAGGTGTGTGCTGAGCTGAGGTAGTTGATATAATTTTGACATGTATGTGTGTTCGTCTGTTCTGAGTATGGCCACATGGCTTTGTTCACCTGAGTGCAGTTTGCTTGTTCGCCCAGTGTTTCTTGAGGATAAAATTGTGCTAAAGAGAAAACAAAATTTATGTTTTGTTAAAACTGTCCCCTAGTATCCAAATTTGTATTTTCAAAACATATATATTATGCCAAAACTGACTGTATGTGAATCTCTATAAAGAATCCCAAATTACAAAAAAAAGACAGTGAATGGAATGGTAAACAATAATGTGTAGATTGCTGAGTAGAGACAAAAGACTGCAATAGAAAGAGAGAAGAAAGAGACCATAACTACTAGGAGAATCAGTCTGTTTTTCAGGAGAAAGTGGAATTTCTGCAGAGCCTTGAAGGATGAGTAGTATATAAATATCAAGGTGGAGGATCTGCATAACAGCAGCACTGAGCACAGTAATGGGTCAGGGATTCTCTAATAAACAGAGGAAAGAAAAGGTCTGGTTGTTAAAATTAAAAAAAAAAAAAATAAGAAAGAATGTTAATACCCAGATTATGAAAATCCTTGAGCATAAGAAAACATCTTTATAACTATGTCAGCCAATAGAGAAGCATAAGTTCTTAAGCTTAAGAACCGGAAAAGAGTGAGGTTTTTTCCATAAACATGAATTTATCATTAGCATACATGATATATCAGAGTCAAGTAGGAGAAAAACAAATGGCTCCCTAATTTCCTGTTCCAGTGACCTTTGTAGGTTTCTCATGTCCAACTGAGGTTTGTGGTACACCAACCTTCTGCCAAATAAAATGCCCAAATTATTAGCAGTGTTTTTAAATCAATTTAGTTTTAAAACATGACATTTTATTCTCCATAAGCATGTGATAGGTTTTTTTTCTATGTGATAGGTCTATACCAATCCAGTGGGTTGTTAAATTTCAACAAATATAAATGACCTCAGTGATTGAGACATTTAATTGAAATTGAAGTTTCTTTATATTAAGCACACCTAGAAGTACTGCATATTTAAAACTGTATAACATATTTATGAATAAATTATACTCCTAGACCAGTGTTATAATTGTAGTTCATATCTTTGTGAAGGGTTTTTGGATTGATTTAAAATGTATTGCAACATTTTACCTTCTAGATAACAACATTTCATAGTTTGCTTCTAAATTCCACAAGGGTAAAACACATGCCATGTGACTTTCCACTGTGATGATGCAAAAACATGAGGCATTTTGGCTCCCAACAGTTATGCTTGATACTGGAAAACCATTAATATTATTTTCTCTTTTAATAGATGTAAATATAGGCCAGGCACGGTGGCTATGCCTATAATCTCAGCACTTTGGGAGGCGGAAGTGGGTAGATCACCTCTGGTCAGGAGTTTGAGACCAGCGCGGCCAACATAGTCAAACCCCGTCACTACTAAAGATACATAAATCAGCCAGGCATGGTGGTGCACACCTGTAGTCCCAGCTACTTGGCAGGCTGAGGTGGGAGAATCGCTTGGACTGCGGCGGTGGAGGTTGCAGTGAGCTGAAACTGCACCACTGCACTCCAGCCTGGGTGACAGAGTGAGACTCCGTCTCAAAAAAAAAAAAAAAGCAAAACTACCCATCTGCATATTTCCTTCTAAAGCCAAAAAGAATTCTTATGTATGTCCCTTAGGGAAGGATTTGTCTGATGTGTTTAAATAGATAAAATACAATTCTCTTAAAAGCAATGTTTCCCAAAAACCTTTTTCGTTTGCACACCTCACTGTACTGTGGCCAAGTTTAGTCTTTGATGAGGAATCAGAACGCGCTGTTCTTACTGAGACCTGATCCTGTAACAGCTAAATCTCATTCTCCGCTATGTTTCTGTTAGCTCTCAAAACCTCAGGATGGACAGAACTCTTGTCACTCCTTCCACAGGGGATTCCACTGTAGCAGCAGGCAGAGGCAAAGGTACAGCCTTCTAAGGAACTCTTCAGCAGTGGACATCTCCTGGAGTGGTATACAGGTAAAGTTAAACATCGCCTCTCTGGACGTGTCTTTTCCAAACAATTCTTCCATAAAGTTTCTCAGCTTATATATCAGTTTCCTACTGCTATGCTTAAAAATTATAACATTTATAATTTATCAGTTTTCTATTGCTATGTTTAAAAATTATAAAATTTAGCATATTAACAGAACAGATATTTATCATATCATAGTTCCCATGGCTCTAGAGTTCAGGCAGAGCCTAACTGGGTCCTCTGTTCAGGGTCGTAGAGGACTAAAATCAAGATTTTGGTGATGGAAGGATCCTATCCAAGACTTGAGGTCTTCTTCCAAGGTTGTTGGCAGAATTCTGTTCCTTGTAACTGTAGAACCTAGATTCTCAGTTCTAAGAGACTTTCTACTGTTTGTTTTCACATGGCACTCTTCACAGCATGGCAGTCTGTTTCTTCAAGACCGGAGGAAGAAAAACTGCTGCTTCTAGTTTATTTTTCAAAGAAGGTCTAAGTCCCTCTTTAAAATGTTTCACCTGATTAAATCTTCTTTTTTGTTCAACTCAGAAAGAACTGATTAGGAGTCCCTATTACATCTGAAAAATTGAGCTTTGCAATATAAGGTAAACTAATCATAGAAGAGAAATCTCATCATATTCACTAGATCTGTCCTACCCACACTAAAGGCCAGTGATTATACAAAGACATGGATTATTGGGGGGTAATCTTAGAAGTCTTCCTAGCATGCCCCCCAAACTCAGCAAATCCTGAAGTAACACACAGTCATTGTGAAAGGTTCCTTTGTAGTTCTTGCCAAGATTCTCTTTAAAAATTTGTTTCATATCTGCCTCACAAATGGCAGAGTTAATGTCTCTTTTATCAATTATTGTATCCCTAACAACACAGTATGTATTCAATGACTATTTATTGAATAAATTAAATAAAAATCATATATTATGCACTATAGATTATTTTGACATTTCTGCTCCATTCTAATGACATATCCTATATGCTACTTTACAGGATATACATAATTTTTATTGCCTATGCATTTGCTGTCTTTTAATTCTGGTCCATTCAATACCAACACAACACCTTTATAGTATTCAGACATAGAGTAGAAATGCTACCATTTGAATATCTAAATCCTTACCTATCCCAAAATATTAATCAATTTACCATTCTACCATTAGTCAACAGGCATTTATTTCACAGTTGCTTTGGGCTCAGTTGTATACTTGGAGCCAAGATTTCCACAGAAGTAATATTATGTAGAAATTTTTTTCTGTAATTTTTTTAGAGAAATAAAGCTATAATATATTAAACAATAGCCAAGACTACATGACCACATAAAATAAATTCTAAGATGTGCCATACTGACTGAGCATACATGGTCCAAGGTTTCAAGAGAGAGAGATCAATGAAGTTTCGGAAAGTTAGGGAAGGTTTCAAAAGAAATGTAATGCTTAAAGGCAACACTGAATAATAGGAAGATAATCACAGTATATTCCAGCACAGCTGGGTTCTGGGGAACTGGACACACTAACTCTTGGTGCAGTGATCTAATGCCAGATGTGTATCTCAGAACAAAAGACAAGAGATATTAGAGTCACAATGAGCATCAAGTCTTCATTTTCTCCTTAGGCAAGCTCACTTAGGCCCATGACTTACGTTACATATCTGTACTGTAACAAATTTCCAACTTTTCTTTATTTTTAAATCAGATGTCTTTCTGAACTGAGGGTAATAATAACTCACAGTTACTAATACCTTTCTAATTATATGCCATCCACTGTTTTGACTCCAACAGGGTTATCTCATGAAGAATCTGTAACTTTCCAAAGTTAGATATATGATCTTCCCT